AGAACTAGCAGGGAGATTCAGATTGAGGATATTCAGGTTTGGCTTCTTAGGACAGGTAGGCAGGTTTCCAAACATGAGCTCCTCCAGAGCTACAGACTTCGATCAGGTTTCCTATAAGGCAGAGAAGACAGAGGCTGATTAGAATCAGGGTTACTCTCCAGAGAAGACAGAGATTCTAGGTTCAGGCTGAGGCTCAGGTTCTGCTAACCAAAACTGGTCAACACTCCGGCGCTGAAGGGAAGTCAAGCCGCTGCTTGACGATAAGCATGTTGCATAGAACACAGAAGGATTCAGTTGCAACACCATTACATTTATTATTCATACAGCCTTTATTCCCCCCAGCGTGGGGAAAATTGCAATGCCTAATTTTCCATCAAGTCTCGCCCTGACAGATTAATGGGGTGAGTTGGTGATATTACTACAGAAACATGCAACCTTGCCACCTTTTTCCTGTTTGAAGGTCTTCTATTTCTATTGCCCTTGACATCCATTCCTAGGATGTTTAAACATTTGCTGATTTTACAAAAAAATGCATTTTAGATGGTTTTAGCATTTACATTATCTTTAATACAAGTATTACAGACTCCTGAATCGCATATAAGTCTAACTGTCTGTCAATTAATTGCTAGAACTATTCATGTTTCTTTTTATGCATTTAATATCCCCCATGCTCCATACACATCTACTATTTTCCTATAGATCCCTATTTGCTCAAGCACCTATTCACACTCAGATGAAGAACTGCCCTGTGGACTCTTCCTTCCTGGTCTGCTTTTACTGGTCTGGGCTGAAAGCCCCCAAAGTCCCTAGGACCGCTCCTGCATCCTTGATGCCTTTTGACATTTCACATGCTTTTGTTAGTGCAAAAATCTCTGCAGTTTGCACGGAGTATGATGATTTTAAGCCAGCACTGTAAAAGTTTTTTTTCCCCAATTATCTACAACTGCAAAACCAACTTCTTCTGATCTGGAAGCTGATCCATCCACATACACATTTTTATAACCCTCCTGTGGTTCATCTTTTCCCCTGGGTGGTTAGATCCAGGGAGTAAAATGTTTTTGGGAATGAGCCTGAATGTACAGCATGTGTGTAAGATGTTTCTAATTCTGGTGTAGCATAAAATCTGTACATCTTTTCACTCCCATCTCTTTGTCTGTAGGCACCAACGCTAATTGCAATTTCCTTAACAAATCTCTGCCTAATAAATTAACTGGACCGTCTGGGCTTAACACAAAATCAGCTTCCACTGTGAATCCCTCTTCATCAGTGACCAATTGTTTTTCAGAAATGCGCTGAACCACCATTCTCCCATCAGCAGAGACTACTGTGATCCATTTTGGTCCCGGTTTAACCTGAGATAATTTATCCCTCAGGACAGATTTATCAGATCCGGTGTCACACAAAAATGTCACTTTTATCCCTTGAAAGTTTAAATGCCAGTATGGTTTTTCTGATGTGTTTAATAAAGAAAAGAAAATTTGCTGTAGGTCCAGGACCTCCACTGGGTCCACAATTAACTGCACTTCACTTTTTGCTGGTGCACATGACTCCTGGCATCAGCGCTGGTCATAATATTGGTGACGAGGGGTTCTGGACATTCCCGAGCAAAGTGGCCCTCCTTATCACAATTGTAACACCTATTGTGCTCTCTACGTGACCCCTTTTTTTCCCCCTGTGACCACCGGCCTGTCACTTGAGCCCAATTATGGCCCTAACTACACTTCATAGCCTTTTCTATGTTTAGCTTGCACAATCCACTTATTTAACCCCTGTAATTTTTTTTCTGTATGTAGCTTGCATGACTAAATAAATTTTCTAGCGGGTTATTTATTTTACATTTTTTGGCTTAAAATTTAATATTGTTGGAGAGCATGCAGGCGCACTAGGAAGGCTGTCAGCTGAATCAGCGCTGCAGTCGCTGCTCCATTGACCGACCCCCCCGCTGCTGCAGACTCAAGCTGTCTTCCTCTAAACGGTGTTCCATTATCTTTTGGACACACAAACAACTTAAAAGACCCACAAACATAACTTTAAAAACGGAAGTACATAATATTAAAAGACAGACAAACACAACATTAGATCTATTTATTTAATATTTAATAATAACATTGTATCTACTTTGCGCATGCATTATACCCACACCCCGCCATTTGGAGCTCATTCATTTATTTATTTATTTATTTATTTATTTATTTATTTATTTATTTATTTATTTATTTTTGCACTAGTGCTTGTTTCTAGCCAGCACACAACATTTCTCCATTGATCTACTTCCACAGACCATCTATTTCATACTTTTCCTTCCACTTCTACAAGTATTTTAAATTACTCGGATCAATCTGACACAAACTTTTCATCCCCTTTATGATCTTCTCTTTACTCTTTCCTGAACCCATCCTTTTTAATTCTTTTACCTCCCTGGCTCTCTTTAGTTATTTTATCCTTAAGTTCTATTATTCTATTATTTTGAAATAGAGGCGTCCCTCAAATCCATATATTTTTTAAAATCCATATATTCAAGTGTTTATTTTTTGTTGGATCCTGCGCTCCTACAAACTTCTAATCATTGGATTTTAAATTATCTCTAAATTTACTTTGACTTTTACCCATTTGAATGAATTTAGTCCAGTACAAACACCTAGGGTATTCTA